CCGTTTGCAAGGTATCATTTACTTACTTTGATTCACAATATTTTACATGAAAATTAGCATGAATCTGGATGTATGCTGCTTTAAAGATTAAAATATCTATTAACTAAGTAATAGTAAAAACTGCTGAAACAAATATTTCCTACTACAGAAGTAATAATGTCTCATTTTTTCGATACATATGTACTAAACATTGTATGTTACATTGTACTTTACGTACATTATATAAATATCACTTACTAAGTTTGTGAGTAACAGTAAATTTTACGAGAGATGATCTTTTTGCTCTTACTCACAAACCTATGTGTTATTTATTTTATAACCCCAAACTAATACTTTTTTGGGACACTGTTTCGATAGGTTTTTTATTTTTTCAGATTTTTACGGTCACCGTGAAAAAATAGCCACATTGTACGCTTGAATTAACAGTAAGAATAACTTCTATATATTGAAAATTAACATTACAAAAATAGTAAGGGGTAAGGTTTAGGGTTTCACATATACATGTACTTGTAAATCAAATATTATTTCAGGTTGACTTACTTGATATAATGATTATTGATGGGGTTACAGTCTACAATTGGTACGAGGAATCGGACGAGATTCAAAACCACACATTTATCAGAACAACGCATGTTCGCGGTATTAGTGGTCTATATTTAGAATATGGCAGAAGTCTAGAATCCATGGAAAGATACAATAGATATGTAAGTTGTTTTTTTCATTAATAATTAATTACATAACGGATACGAAAGAATTGTATATTATTGACTTTGTTGTGTTTCTCATATATGAAATATACAGATTATATTACGAAGGAATTGTTGGTAATGAATTGCAAGTAAATTTATCATCAAACATTTTTGTGTGTAAATCTGAAGAATTTCATAACGTTAATTTGACCTGTACACTATACTTGTTGTCAGTTTATGTATAATATTTATTGATTTTCGTTTAACATTAAATTAAATAATTTTGCAATATGATAAATTCGTTATTAACGTTGTATCGAGGATTTTTGACAATATATGGCCGTGTATTTCCGCTAGCTTTCCCTATAATCCTTGCCTAGCGACTTGGGTTATATAGACCGTCCATACTGGCCCATATAATAAACAAGTTTGCGACTACATGACTAAGTGACAAATATAGCGTCTTTATTAATTTTTTTAATGTATAACTAACTACATAACAGATATATTAACTACATAACAGATATATTTGTTAGTAAGCAAGAAGGTCAAGTACTATATTCATTTTTTGCCTTCAATTCGGAATTTATGGTTTTTATGTGTAGCAGATGCTGACACTAAGATTAAGATCTATTTTGTGCATTTTTAATAACATTCTTTTCCCTTTCAAGAAATATATACATGTAATAGTCAAATAAATACCCTATTATATTTCTGCTGACGTTTTTTTAATGTTAGTTTATCTTTGTTTGTACATGTAATTGAGCAGCAAAGTATATTCATAAACATAGCACTATAAGAAGATTTATCTTAATTATAGAATAAAACTGGACCAATACTGAGAATATTACCATGCCGCGTGACACAATGAAGTGACACAATCTTTCATTAAACCATTTTTTTCTAGGAGTTCCGACATGACAGCTCGCTTCCAGCATATGAGCCACAAACCTTCATTTTGAATGATCCGATTGAAGCTCGATATCTACGAATTTACCCGAAACCCCCAATAGGAAGTGACGTCACATGTCTAAGGTTTGAATTACTAGGATGCCGTAACCGAAGTAAGTATCAGTTCGAGTGCAATCAAGTTGTCATACTTATTAATATATAATTTGAAAGAGTGTTATTGTTCTTATAGTTAGAGTTAATGAACGTTCAGAAGGTAAAGACGTATCATTTAGCATTGCCCATGAAGCTGTATTCATTTGTTCACGTGTCATTCATATATTTGACATGTAAAAATACTTTTTATATAATTCATAATATATAAAATTATACAAAACATATTTTTATCCGTTAAATATATTAACCAAAAGTTAAATAACATTAAAAAATTATAAATAATTCTCATAATATTTTAAGACTACATTTTGATTGATAAAGCTACTCACAGCATGGGAAGGGATATTTTTTAATTCGAAACGTTGCAACCAAAAGTTGTCTCCCCTTCACGTGGTCATCTTTATGAACTTAAGGTATTCTTTCAGAATATGCATGCATTTCTTGACGATAAATATTCTTAAAAATATCGCGGGCATTAATTTAACATAAAATATTCCTTAAAACATTGTGGTCATTTTTATTAATATAAGATATCCTTCAGATGTTGTTGGCACTTTATCTACACAGTCGAAAGTAGATATGAACCTTGATGTCAAGTTTGATGTGGCGTCGTTTGACGTAAGAGTTGCCGGACCTTTGGCAAGCATAGGCTATCCCCACACGTACCCCTATAATGTGTTCTATATTTGGAATATAACGTTTCAGAACAGCGTGCCTTTATTACAATTTACAGATATATCCCTACGAACATATGAGGTAATGGATGTAATGTAAAAGCCTACATCCGTCACTTACTCTTGAAAATTCTAAATAACATATCTTTGAATATTTTACTTGGAAAACATTTGATGTTTATCCTAGGTAATTCTTACCATACTATTACACGTATAGATGGACAATAAGGCTTTTTTTAAACATTTCATTTTTTTCTAGAAGTTTTGGATATTTGACAAATTGAATATATTTAAACAATTACTTACGAAATCTATGAACTTATGTATATAGTTATGTACTTTGATGCAGCTCTTGTGTCCTTCAGGAAACGAATGATTTACCTAACATGGAATGTAGAGACACCATCATCGTAACTGGCTTTGAAATCGAAAACCCATTCGTCTTTTACAAACGATACTTTGCGGATTATTCTAAGCTGTACTTCCCTTACCAGTATGGGTCAAGGCAACGCGAATTTCTAACCAGTGATTTCAACGGAAAAATGCCCGCTTATTTTTCAATGCGTTCAAGAGGTGAACCCTTGTATCTAGCTCTCTTGTCGTGTTCTGCTCCGTTTATTAAACAACCAGGAAGAGGATTCCGAGTTCATGTTATTGAATCAGGTCTGATTTTTTGTTAGTTTTATGAATATTTATTTCCTAAGTACTCAAATTGACAGTTTATTTTGAGTGCAATATAGACAAGTGGTATAATAAATCAATGAAATCTTTTCTACACGCATTGACGTTGACTTTGAAGTAAAATCAGTAAATTTTTTTAAAATGACTGTATGCTCATTTATTGTTTTGTTGTTAAGATAGATAGACTATTTTAATAAAGTTTGACCAATAATTGAAAAATATAAAAAAATGCCTAAAATATGAAAAGACTGCCTCCACTCCTTTTATAATAAATCATGTGTTGTCGATACATTATGAAGGAAATTTAAAGAATTTCCGGGTGACACGTGGATTATTAAATAGTCATTAGTTGTTGAGTATGAAATTGGAAATAAATATGGCAAAATGTAAACTTATTTTGAATTTTTCCTGCATTCTCAGCATCTACACTTGGACGGGCATAATGTCACTTTACAGACGCTCTTGGGATAACTTCTTTGTTGATTAGATACGGTCATTGCCAAAGTAATTCACTATAAATGGAATACCTCGCCTACTTATAATAAATATTTTAATTGTCTTTTATCTGTCCCATACTATATTGTATAGTACATTAACATTGAATTAATTACGGTTTGTACGACAAATGTTTTCTTTGTGACTCGATCTTGTGCTTAATACTGCGTATACAGATAAAAAAAAAATCCTTAATCTTTCTTTTTAACTTCAAAATAGCCACCCTGAATGTTTGATAGTTTCAACATATATACAAAACCAAAATAAAGTGCACGTTATTTTCAGAATTTCCAAACTGTTTTTCAATCGACACGGCAGCAACATCTAGTTATTGTTATGAACAAGTCATGCTTATAATAACACCAACATTTCTTGGAAGAGATGACGTCGACTTTCAGAAAATCAAATATACCATTGCTCCTTCTGACACCGCTCTTCTGGTGACTTTTGAGATGGTAGACTTTGATATCAGCTGTTATTCAGGTATGACTTCTAAGTGTTTCACAGTCCTTGTGAAGCTAAAATGAGCCGCGTCATGACAAAACCAACATAATGGGTTTGCGACCAGCATGGATCCAGACCAGCTTCCGTGCAGTCTGATCAGGATACATGCTGTTCTCTACTTGTTATAGGGTTTGTAAGCGAACAGCTTGGATCCTGATCAGACTGCGCGGATGCGCAGGCTGGTCTGGATCCATGCTACTCGCAAACTCATTATGTTGGTTTTGTCGTGACGCGGGTCAAATGTAAATTACCTCATACACACACTAATATACCTTAAAGGAAGTTTGTGAGTTTTAAAGTAGTAATAAATTCCTTACAATGTACTCGTATCTTAATGATCCGCTTTATGGTCTATTTGCAACTGAGATGTGGTGTTGTTACTTAGAATTATAACATATTATTGAATAAAGGGGACCCTTAAATTGTGGAGAACATCTGTTGTCTTGATGCCCTGTCTTTATTTCGAGACTTTTGAGACTTACATATATGTATTATACAGTTTATATTGTTCTTTTGCTTTCGAAAATAAGAAACGCTCTGTGAAAATAATATATAAAGTTGATTTATTGATTAATGAAATCAAAAATTTTACACGTATTTGTTAAACCATCTATACATGTAGATCTACAATGTATTATAAAATTATTGTTGTTTTTGTTCCTTCTTTCTCTAGGATCTTCTTTTTCCATTGCAAGTTTTGCGGAACCTCAACGCTACTGTAATCTTAATGTTACACACGGGAAGCTTTTTTACTTTGCACAGGGTCTATCCATTATTTATTCAAAATATATCCTCCCTACATCTGAAAAGCAAACCTTTCCTGAAGGTTTTCACATTAAATACAACACAATCTCGAGAAATAAGACATTTCCATACGTCATAGAATCACAGGATGGAAAAGGTAAACTATTTTGTATACTTGAAACTAGTCAAAAAAGAGATACGTATGATTCTTTATCCATATATGATAAGTTATTCCTATTTGATCTCATTTTGTGCAGTCTCGTTTTTTCTTCTTAAACATACACTGAACTTATACAAGCGGCAAAGGCGAATCAGCGGAGAAAAAGGTAAAATGACCAGTTTCAGTAAGGATATCATGTTCTTATTATTTTGATATTATCACAGTTCAATTAAAATTTAATAAGTGTCAATATGTAATTCATTATGTACATCTTTTCAAGGGCAAATTAAAACTAAAAAGTCTGATTTTACCATTTTAAACAATGTTTTGATAAAACTCAATGTATGTGTTAGAAGAAGTACATCATCCCAAATGATAAGGTCGGACTTCTGTCCGCAATGAGCCATTAATCTCCAAGAGAAGACAGAAAGTTGACTATTTTGAATGTCATTTTGCATTCCGAGTTCTTGACGACATGCCTTTCCAGCGATACCTGTAAATGCACCATCAATTGTTTAAAAATTCAAATTGAAATCCAGTGGTAGATCTTCAGTGGTATTATATAAAAATGACAAATGACAATAAAGTTGCACAAACTAGGCTCTGCATCAAAATAAGAATAATAAAATCCGGAAGAATTGCTCCAGAGCACTTAAACATCCGATGAGAAATGTGATAGAAGTTGTATACAGAAGTTTTTTTATATTGTATAAAAAGATAGGTATTTGTGAGTTAAACTGAAGCACTTGTGAAATGTAGAAAGAAATGTTATATTTATACTTTTACATATTTCCTTTGTTAAAATAACAGAAACAAAATAAGTAAAAAATAAACAATTCAGAAAACTCAGACAATATTGGCTTGTACTCTTGATGACAATAGTTCTGCGAGAGATTGTCTGACATCATTTTTCAAATAGAGGAGGAGTCTCGCAAATTAGGACGTCCTCCAGACGACATCAGCCAATGTGACAGATTGTCTGACATAATTTTTGAAATAGAGGAGGAGTCTCGCAAAATAGGACGTCCTCAAGACGACATCTGTCAATATGACAGATTGTCTGACATATTTTTTGAAATAGAGGAGGAGTCTCGCAAAATAGGTCGCCCTCCAGACAACATCAGCCAATGTGCCAGATTGACTGACATATATTTTGAAATAGAGAACGATTCTCTCAAAATAGGACGTCCTTCAGGCAACATCAGCCCATGTGACAGATTGTCTGAAATCATTTTTGAAATAGAGGAGGAGTCTCGTAAAATAGGACGTCCTCCAAACGACATCAGCCAATGTAATGAGTAGATTTTTTTTTCGCTGATTAATAATACTAATCATAATAATATGAAACTGCTTTGCGTTTTATTTATTAAATAAGATAAGCTAGTGTAGTATTACTTTGACTAATATATGTTTATCGTTCTTAATGTTTTAGATGAAATTAACACTTTTACATTAAATTAATACTTAACTTTTCTTTAATAAATAAATCGTCAGTTTTTCTTTTCTCTACAAAAGTTGAAACCTGATATATTTAATCAAGAAAACGGCACAATTGGTGACTGAATTAATCAGTGTGTTTTTGTTGTCATTATATGATGATACCCAATTAGCTAGCTTTAATAGTTTTTTATATCCACATTTTGTAATTTTCATGATAAAATAATCACGGTTTTGATGTAACATTATACCAGTATATACAACAACTCTTGGTCATGTGAAGGAAGAAAGAGGACAAAAAGATGTTAATTAAAATGATTGTTTAAAAAAAATTATTTTACCGGACATAAACCCTTTTATATGATAAATTCTTTTCACTGTGGGCGTTTGGATAAAACGTCGGTTCTTTAATAATCCGAAAAATCAGTTTGTTGTTCAAAAACGGTTAAAGTTGGGGCAATAATGTTATTGTCAACGTCTAGTGATACCATTTAGCTGCAATTTGATATATAAGTGGCGGCGTGGCGAAGTGGTTAACATGTCAGACTAGTAATTACTGACCGTGTGGGTTCAAACCCTGTCAGGGGCAAGCCGTTGTTTCCTTGAGCAAGAAACTTTACATTCATTGCTAAGTACTGGTTGGTTCCAGGAACGGATTCGAGAGTGTTTCAATAAGCTTATAGCTTCCAACACAATCGAACTAAAATAAATTTGTATAAACTAATTTGATATATAACTTTATATGATTTACATAAGAATGACTGCAATTTTGACTTATACTGGACAAGTGACATTCGGCCGATTTGGCGTGTTCAACCCCTTGTCTATATCTTATGTATACAGTACAGTATTTTTTTCTAGAATTTACATTTAACACCATAGTGCCGAGTCCCTGTGGGTTTAACAATGCAGTGCCTTAACGACAAACTCATAATAGAACTGCATTTATCTTTATCAGTATCGGCGAAAATAAAACGATATTGGTATTTGTCTAAAATGGAGCAATGAACTTAAATTTACAACATCAGTTTACTTGTATTAGTTTATAAGATACATTTTTTCACGATAATTGGTTAATTTGTTTGTCTAAATTTTACCTGTTTACAGTATGCAACGATGAAATCAACAAGTGCCTTTCGTTTCAAAGGATTTACAAAAAGTCTTGGATGGATGCCGCTGAGATATGCAGAAGTCAAGGAACCTCTCTCGTCACCATAAAGTCTGTGAAAGAGTTTAACTTTTTGCATCATCTTCTTCTTGCCCTGTTTAGAAAGAGGGTATACTTTGAAGGCCACAAAAGTTTGCTTTATATAGGTATTTAAATGACAAAATTTTAACTGATAGTTTCAGAAATATGAAACATAATCTTTCATAGATTTAAGTAAAACTATCATGTTTATCATGTTGACATTTTTCCGCGTTTAACCTGTGATGTTTTTTTGAATTTGTAATCAACACTGATTGTTCATATTGCAAATGTCTTAAAACATTCTTTCTTAAACTTTATCCAGGTTTGAGCCGGTACATTGACACATCTGGAATAAGCCATGAGCACTGGATTGATGGAACTCCCTTGACATTTACTGCTTGGTTTGTAAAACTAAACCTAGAAGGCTCGAAATAATTTCATTGGCATCTCATATATTTGTACAGAGTTATCTTTGAGCCTTTAAAATTTTTATTCATGTATGATTATAACTGTCATAATGACTGTCATAATTTTAAAATGTTAGATTTTCTCTCTCTCTTGCAAGTTTAAGTAAATTTTATTCTTTACCCAATATGTATTACCGAAGGATTTTTATATCAATGCGAATACTTATAGCCACACGGGCGGACAAAATGAATGGCACAACTTGAGAAACAACATTAAGAATTACTCTGAGCAAGCAAGTCTCTGGAAGACATGATCCATTACTTATAAAAAAATCTTACTCGTGCTCATACAGCAAATCGAACAGTAATTTTGAATTTAATGTAATTGAAAAGATGACAAATAAACTAACTACTTTAAACTAACCATTTTGCACATCATTTTTAATTATATAAATACGTGAACACTTTTGAATCCATTGAAGGAATTCAAATCAACCTTCTGAAACCATGATTAAACAGTGCACAAAAATGGTACTACCTGTCAATGAGCAAAATAAAACAAACATTTGGGAGACAACTACCTGCACAGAAAAATCTGGAGCCTATATGGAGTTAGTGTGTGAGCAGAAAACTAAGCAATATACACAAAACAATACGGGTAAGAAATCTAATTTAATAGCTGGTTGATTCAGACGGTAAATTAGGACTGAATGTGAATGAAATAAACTTTTCACCGCAATCGTCAGCAGTGGAATTATATGTTTATTATTCAGAAACTATGAAAGAGATAATGAGAATGCGTTTAAATATTTGTTTGTTTTATAGATTTTAAAAAGCATAAAATCGGCTATTTTCCCCTATTTTGCCCATGTTATAACGGGACCAAAGCCATGTGTTAACATAGTCACGCGCGCTTTTTATAGCCCGGTTTTACTTATGCGCAATACATACAGGGTTCAGTAAACAAACATAAAAAATTGACGAGGCCTCAAGCAGACTCGTTTTGATGAGCATTTTAATGATTCAAAATTTACTTTTATGCAATATCTGAATGATTTGTAAATGCTTATAAACAGAACTGTTAATCTGGTTTGCAGAATTTGATACAGGCTGTTACAGTGGAACGGCATCAAAATACAAAGGAAATCAATCAATATCAAGAAGTGGATTGAGGTGTCAAAGATGGGATAGCCAAATTCCTAACGAACATGAGTTCCTAAACCGTAGGAAATTTCCTGACAAAAGGATTTCTGACGCCGCAAACTATTGTCGTTCGCCAGATAAAGACGTGAAGCCGTGGTGTTTTGTAAACGATTCTATGATAGCGTGGGATTATTGTCCTTTGGAGCGATGCCAGACTGGTTTGTACAGAAAGAAAAGTTGCAATGTTCCATTAAAAGGTCTTGAATACAAAAACAAGCAGATTTCAAAATGTATAGGTGGCACGATAGCTCAGTTGGTTAGACCACTGATTATCACTCCACTCCTGAGTTCCCTGGTTCGATCCTTGATTATACCCTTGGGATTTTCCAGAGACACTTTCAGTGTTTCCCACCTACCAAGAGGTGTACTGGTAGGATATTCAGATTATCCTCGCATGTATCAGTGCTATACACTGGGCATGTAAAGGAACCTTCCTTAATGTATACAATTTATACCTGCTTAGAGTAATCGTAATCAATTCTAAAGCAGTATGATGGAGATGTGTGCTAAAACGTCTGGGGGCAGTTTGTTTTGTTGTATTGTTGTTTTGTTGTATTTAACTCTTATAGACAGAGTACGTCTGTTATTACCTATTTGTTTCAATTCATACACACAAGAAATATCATGTTTGTTGTACGAAAATATACTTTTGCATCATCTTGATAAACAAAGATTGAATATAAATGATTCACTGCATATTCTTGTTTTATTCTCTCTTGCTACATTTACAGAAAGTACTGATTTAGCCAAGGATGATACGACATTGTTCAAGTGTTCTAGTGGTGAATGGATGTCATTTAAAGTTCGATGTAACGGTGCTCCCGAATGTCTCGATGTCTCGGATGAAGACAATTGCACAACACGTACGTTCCTTGCGTATTTTTGGTCTTCTTTCAATGCTATTGAAAGTGAAGGGTGGTGTATTGTGTCAACTATTGCAATAATATGTACTATATATCTTTTATACTTGATATACATGATAACTTACTTTCAGTACGTCTATGATCTAAGAAGCACATTGAAATCATATGAAATACCATTTTCATAATTACATTTTACAAGATTTAGGCTTGAAAGTTCTTTCCCTTTTTCACTTAATTAAAAATATGAATACATGTGTACAATTATGCTATCCTTTAAACGGATATTTTTCAAAACATCAAATGCATGCGTAGCCTTATAATACTAGTTATATTGTTTGTATCAATTTCACAAAGCTCTCTTACCTCAGCATGTTTAACATCTTTTTCTTTTCCTTTTTGTTTCTTCCTCCTTTTACTGTAAAAAAAAATTGGGTATACCCAGCAAGGGAGAAACCACGCATTGAGCCTTAGAAAATGTTCATTCTATAAAAAACTTTTAAAGTCATTACTTTAAATAACATAAAAGGGCGTCCTCTCACCGCTGTGGGCTCAAATCACGACAAGATCTTTGGATTCTTTAATGTCAGGAAGTAACGAGCTAGTTTACGGAACGTCGGTTGTTCTACATAGGTGCCCTTTCATGCCTGAAATAATGCACGAAAGGGTACCTGAGGTCTTCGTCCACCTGTAATGCTGGAACGTCTCAAAATGAACTATACCACGGCGGTGCGACGTAAAACCCAATCAAATAAAAAATCAAATCAAAGAACACAAAAATAAAGAACGAATATTGCATGTGTTTTTTCAGCTGTAAGTACATGCGAAGATGACTTTTTCACCTGTCAGGATGGTCGGTGCATACATATAAGTTTCCTCTGCGATTTTGTCCAAGATTGCTACGATGGCTCAGATGAGTTTTGTGGTAAGAACAAATAATGACATTATTATTATGTTTTGCCTATTGTTGCAAAATAGAGATATACTTAATCTGAAAATGATATGTTCAGTGCTTTGCCGTAATATATATATGTGACATTTTTAAAACATAACTTTCAGTACATGGCCATGAAATTCGAAATTTGATTGATCATTGCACCCCCGTATTTTTTAAATTAGAAGGTATTTTGAAATCAGAGAATCCGTATATTGATGCAAAGCACATTGTTAAGAACTGTTTCTTTTAAGCATAAATTTAGATTTATTGCCCTTAATAGTTTTCATACTTTATTTTTTATTCTGGAAATAAGGCTATCGCCTCAGTCAGTACGTCATCTATCGGTGAATATCACATCATATTGAATGACCATACATCGTCGACTTTGAATCACTCGCGCGTATAAAATATTTTGCCTTTTGTTTTTTACGACATTAAAATATTATTAGTTTACTGTTAAACGTTACACCTGCAATGATGAATTACTTTCGTTTGCGCTACGTTTGCTTAGTCATTGGTCTGGCGTCATCTTGTTTAAGTGTGTCTTTTTCCAACGATTCTTTAATGATCAAAGCCATTTTTATATAAAAAAACAGATATTATTGACCAGTAAGCCATCGAATATGACGTGATATTTACCGGCAGAAAATCAGATGTCATCTGCCTGTGAATATCACTTTATATTCAATGGCTCACTAGTCAATAATTGAATAGTAATTGCTTTAGTCATTGGCTCCAGAGATGCGTCATCAGTCCATACCTTATATGGAATGGACGAATTTAAGCAAACCGAGTGTTCAAGTTTCACCTTTTAATTATTATTTTCAATATTTCCCATTTCCTTCCAAATTTTTCAAATTATTTATTGTTATGTATAATTTCTTGCTACAGCATAACTCAAATAAGTCAGAAAGTATCATCTCGTAACATCATATGTGGATAAATAATGTTAGAGTTATATGTGGATAAATAATGTTAGAGTTATTAATATTTTATTGCTTTTATATTTTTATCCTGAGAACAACTGTTTTATTCGTGTTAAATACAGATTTACTAAATACATAGTGCTTAATTCAAATTCAATTTGTTCTTCATCACACAATATTACTTCCCAGTTTAAGTCATTCCATGCTTTTATAAAACTTTTTTACGTGTATCAATGCAAAGCAGCAAGTGGGACTAGTTGTATTTTAACCAAAACATTAGTTGTTTCAAGGAGGACAATCTACTTTCTTTACATATTCAATAGTTTTGCATGTTGTCTTATCAGATATTAGGTTTTGAAAAATTACATGACTATTATAATAACATCGAATACACCGAAGATCATGTTATATTGTATAATTCAAAATAATTAATAGTACTGAGAATCATGTCGGATCAAATGTTAACATAACTTTTCTTCTACAGAACATCCAAATTGCGATTATGAAACCGAGTTCACTTGTAACAACGGTCAATGTGTACCGATTCATCAAAGGTGTGATTCTTACAAACAATGCCTGGATTCAAGCGACGAAGCGTTTTGTGGTATTATTTTTATACTTTTATAATGATAAACATATACGAGAGACACCATATATTTGACAGAAGATACATGTATGTATAACCGACGATTCCATTATTATCAATCCGACAAACATTATCAAATATCAGTTATGAATGCTTTATTTTGTACATTTATGCTTATCAGATGTTTGTTAGTTCTTATAGACATTTTGTTCAAGTTATTAATGCTGACCATTATTTTGTCCATGCTATAAAAATATTAAAATAATCTTCAGAAAATTCTTCAAAATAAGGAAGCCCTCAATTAGTTCTTATTAAGCGTTTAAGGTTACAGTCAGTTTTGCCACTTGAAAAAATGTTAATTGATTGATTTATTAAATGAACATTTCTATGCTTTCATGCAGATTTTTGCAACAATGATGTGGCGTTCCAGTGTGGAGATACGTCGTGTTTATCTGAACGACTGGTTTGTGACGGACATGTGGATTGTGTGGACGGTGCAGATGAAAGAAATTGCAGTCAAATCTATAAAACGTGTGATGATATATGGAGAGATGGTTTAACGAAGGATGGAATTTATACTATAGGTTGGTTCTTGGTTTAAACATTATAACAGTTTAGGTAAGACATTGCCTTATGGATGAGGTGTTGCCCAAACGTTGAGCGTCTCAGAATTGCAGCCATCGTTTAACGTTGCGTGATCGCATGAGGGGACTAAATGGGTTCGATTTTTTTGTCTATGCATCTTTTAGCACCAGCAGGTGAGATGGTTTTGCCTCTTGGTATTGCTTAAAGTTTGTAACACCAGATATCAGACAGAATCATGTTTCCTGTTTACCTAAATTGCGTTGGTGCTCGTCAAAAATACCATAAACATAAAAGGTTAATCAAAGTTAACTTTTACAACGCTAAATACAATGTACCTTAAATGGACTTGTCTTTTTAAACATAGACGAATCATTTTACAGCTTCTAGTGGTACGGTATAAAAGCATACAAGTGTACAAAATTGAATTGTATATATATTTATATATATGACATTTCTTGTTATAAAAAGTTAGTCATATACTCTGTGTTATTAAGTTAGTCTACTCAGGCGGAACAATGAAAGGTTACGTATCTGTGACGTACCCGAGCACTTGTTTAGGAATTTCACAATAGTAATGGTCTCAATTCTTGTTGCAGCTTTCTTTTAATTGCCAATGTATATTTCCAAAATATATGAAGAAAAAAAAAGTTTTTTTCAAGCGCATATAATTTTTTTTGCTTCACATATTATTGTATAAATATAACCTTTTTTTTAGTATAATTTGTTTTTTGTTTTTGTTTTTTTTTTTCGTTTATTTTATTTATAATATTTACTTTATCCACGCATTTATATCTTGTTTCAGGCGAAGGATTTAAAGTACGTTGTACCTTCAACAGAACAACTGGTTTTATAACTATGAAATTTCTCACCAGTGACTGGAGGAGGTACAGCAATACAAACACATTCTCGGTTGATCCGCCAAGTAATTCTGTGATCAACGATGCTACCCAACACGGTTATATCTGCTCGCAAAAGGTAAATACCTTAATTTCTTCGTATGTTAATATACATACAGAATTTATTTAAGTTCGATTTTATAGGAAGCTGTTAGTGAAAAAGGAGTGTAAATTTTCTTGCTCAAGGAGTGTAAAGTTTCTTGTTTAGCTTTCCCCTGACAGGGTTTGAATCCATGCGGCAAGCGAGCGATCCTTAGAATTCTAAGCCGATCCGTTAACCATTTGACCATATATCCGCCACTTTTATTTATTGATTGACATCTTAAATTCTAATTTCTTTATTGGTTATTTAATACCTAGCAATTACAGTATATCGTTTGTTATATAACACAGTTATAACAGCGCTTTTGATTGGATAACCGTGAACTATATCATAATGTTTATCTTTATCTATGTTCCTTTATCTATGAAACAGAAAATTGTCTTATTAAATTCTCTGATGTGTTATATAATAGAAATATTGTTGAAGACAATAGCATTGATAATAAATAGAATTTATGTGTTTACCAATGTGTATATTATGAGTGATTTAATAAGCATTTTACCTTTTTTATTTAAGTACTTTGAACGTTTTAAAAGGGGAAAGGAACGAGTTATGGCATTTGACAATGAGTTTTCGAATGAAACAATTACTTCAAGTGGAGAGAGAATAAGATATCTAAACATCTTTAGACGGCAAGAGTTGTTTTGTATTATTTAAATTTACCCCCCATCCTCCCCAACCCTCTAGTTCTCTTCGCCAACACCCCTTTTCGTTTGTAGGCCTATTAATTAACCCTTTCTTTAATTTCATTGTCGGTTTCTATTATGTATTATCATAATAGTGTCCTGTTCGTATTTGGGAACTGCTGGACCCTGTCTTGCTAGGTCGTTTGGGGGTTGCGGTCATTGCACGCCGCCCTTCCTTGTTGATCTTCTTTATTTGTACAATTGAAGCATGTTTTTATTTTCTAAAACAATGAATTATATACATATAATTAAAAATGTTTTGCAACAATTGTGATGGGTTATAAACCCTTTCAAGACACCAAGTTTTATCAAATAAATACATTAAAAGGGCTAATACCTATCATATTGTTTATTGACGAAATCGTAAATTTAAAAATTGTAGACAAAAGCCTTCTTCCCCTCTATATTCTAGGGCTAATTCGGGTAATTTAGTGTTTAGGTACGATGCATCGGCAGGATCGTTAGGCCTTATCACAGTCGGTGTACCAGAATCGTTTAACGAAGAACATAGATTAGTTATAGATGGTGCTGAATGTATCAAAGGTAAGAGTAGTAGCAATGATATTGATGGTAGTATACATGTATGTATACTTGTATCTAACGTGTCTCAGTATCTTCTTATTATGTGATGTAAGATGAAACACAACAACCATTTTTGTATTACTTACTCGCTTTAGCTGGTACTGATACTTACTGGGAAAATACTTCAATAAGCATAAGGTTGTTTCCAGTTTATTTCTTTTTTCGGTTGATTGTAGATGTCATGTATAATGTGATGTTGTCTATGACGAATAAATTATGTTTAAACCAAAGACAAAATGTTGTATGCAAGTTCGCAAAATAAAAGAAATGCTTCATTAAGATTCAAACCTTATATTATCAACTTGAAGCTAAGTCATATCTCCATATCCCAGAGGCTAGTGAGGCAAGTGTTACACACAAACCATGTATACCGTTTTGCCATACTTCAAAATCCGTATGATTTACTTTAGAATTCGATATTTACCGACAAGAGGTCATTGAATATTCAAATGCCCCACGTCAATATTGCCAAACAATATAATCTTATGATTTTAAAGTCAAAACAATATGTTTGTATAGGAAGTTGCATTTAACATATAGTAACAAAACGTAAAACATATGCAAATGATTCTCTTTTTTAGCTTTAAAGAATTGGGACAAAACAGTGTTCTGCCAAAAGGGAATTAAATCGAAATTGCAGAAAAAGTGGTGTTTAGAAACATCAAACAATTATTTATATGACCATTATATACAGAATTCATGCCTTTATCTTCATAATACCGGTTGCGGTAAGAATTTTCATTATAATATTTATATGTAAAATTCATTTAAACTGAAGAAAATTATTTTTTTTTAAATTTATCAGAAGAATAGTCATTATTTCCTGAGTTAGCTGATTTCAAACAACATATGAATAGTATAAGGTATGCTAACAAATGTATAAAATGTGAAAACAAAGATCAACGAGAAGGGCGGCACTAACTAAAGGAACCCTCGATAAATTAACAGCACTTGGGACTACCGCAAGGTGCCCAACAGAGCACCAAGAAAACACTGGAGAGGGAATTTAAGACTTTTGCTATAAAACTTAAATATTACTCAATTATAATGTTTTGTTTATTTCAAATATAGAGGATATTTGTTTGTAATGCATGTAAAATTGAAATATAATTTCACTGAGTGAACACCAGATGCAATATTTTCACGAGTGGCGTAGCCACGAGTGAAAATATAATAGCTGGTGTTCACGAATGAAATATATTTCAATCTTATATGTAAAACAAATAAATTTTCTTTTTATTTTATGCTTTTAAGTGATTTTAAGTATTTTTTTACTGATTTTGCCGCGAAACGTCGCGCATTCTCCTTTGTGACGTCATTATATCATGACGTCACATCATAAGTTTTGAAATATAGTTCTGTTAAATTTCTCTAATTTTGTTAGATTTTTAACATGATGTATGATGACATAGACTTTCTTTTCCTAAATAAGCATATTTACGTATGACGGCATTCATTTCTGCCTGTTATTCCATTTGGTTATGATTTTCTTTTCATCCGCATTCAGATAATTATAGTCCGGCTACAGTGAAAATTATATTTTATAAATTTCACTAGTGGTTTATCAGAATATAATCATCTGATATATTGTAATACAACACTGGAAAGCATGAAATAAAGCATGATAAACAAGTATACAAAAAAAAACCGTGAAATTCCTTTAAACATGCAACTTGTTTATGTAACAGTTCAGTAGTTTTGCATTTTGAGACTGCGGGTGTCAACCTCTAGTACTATGGGCCGTTTTTGAACAATTTCATTTTCAGTGTTTTGGTAAACTGCATCCAACCAACTGATAAAAAAATCTGTACAAAATAACACTTTGCTTACTTGTTTGTGGATACGTGTGCGTGTGCATTCGCTTGTGTTTGTGCTGTTGTTTAAATATGTGTAGAGGGCGCGAACACATTCATATTCAGTGTAGTTTAATATATACTTTATTTCTAGAAAGAAACCCATGGACCGAAAACATATTTTGTCAGCAGGGAAGACCTTGTGATAAAAGACTTCACTGTATCTATGATAAGGATGATAATGGACAATTATTAGGCTGTAGATCGTATGACCATTTGCAAAACTGTGGTAACGTCTCAAATAATACGATTTATCTTTAAATTAATAGTCTACCTATTACATTTTGTATATAATTTTAACAAATAAAGCTTTAATTGAAATGGTATTAAACGAAACATGCAATGTTCTTATAAAAAGCATACAAAATATTTGATTAAACAGCTTTAATTATCATAGCATTTCTCCCAGTATTCTAACGTAAAAATTTATAACTGTATATTGTCAAGCTATGAACGAAAAGCTGGGCTTTAATTATTATCTTGACTTTAAGAAGCAAACATTTTAATTCATACTAATGTAAAAATATATTCAACACAAATATCACTATTTTTCATACACTAGGTATTAAAAGCGGGATAAATAAACAAATTTGCTACTTTGCTTATGATTCTCATTGAATTGACGGTATGTACCATTGGTCTCAGGCCTTGAACTTCAAGTCCAACTTATTGCAAATGACCATTACAGCATACTTGTTTAGTTTCAGTGTCCGCTATGTCCTGAACGCATGGTGATTACATCATATCACACTACGTTATGAGCGATATATGCCTAGTTTAACTGAATTAGATAGTTGTATAATCTATATTTTTATATTCGACGACGTCTACCATTTAAGGTCTTATAATGTTATTAAATTGTGTAATGACATCAGAAAGTAACTTTTCCTTACAGAAGACATTGCGTGCCCTGTTCATCATTTCAAATGTCCAAAAAGCTATTGTATACCCATGAAGTATGTATGCAATGGTAAGAGCGACTGTCCGGATGGTCAAGACGAACATTTTTGTGGTAAATATAAACATCAATAAAACTATGGTCTGTATTTAGAATTGCTGACGTACAAGCAGAAATATGTTGAAAAATTGAAGTATATACTTTCAGATTGAATATGTTTCTTGTACTTGTTTCATTTGTACTGCAGATCCCTTTCATTTCATTTTCTTTACACTGCTTTTCAATGTTACATTTTGTATTTTGTAGATTGTATTAACCCGGACAAAAGTGAAGTAACGATATTGTTCCCTGGACCAAATATTATATCTAAACAAAGATCAAAGGTGTTGCAAGAGGTGGCATCTAAGCTTAGAGGCACGTTGTTCACTAGAAGTTCCTCTACAAAAATATTGAAAATGATGAAAACTGAGGACTCAGGGGTTTATCCTTTCCATTTTGTTGGCGCTAATGCTTTATCCAAAAGTGAGCACACGGACAAACTAGAGACGGGCCATCTTATCAACTATACTGATGAGTTTGACATTAGAAAACGGAAAATGGAAATATTGTTTGACAATAAGGATGAAAGGTCAAGCAAGGGACTTATATGGCTAACAGATAGTCTATATGTTACTGAGGCCGAACGAGACATATTTCATAACAATCTTGGTACAAATGCTTCAAGATCGATTAAAAAATATAGAGTTATAATTAACGCACGTCCATATAAAGAGATAGATATTCCACGTCAATCGCCTGTTACAGAAATTATGCTAAGGGACAAGGATATTCTAGGAACATTGGGTTCCAGATTGTTTCCTTCCATATGCAAAGGTAAACATCTCAGTAAATACATCTCCCTTCCCTTCATATACTATTGTATTTAAAACATATGATAATATGTTAACCTGGTAATACAACAAATAAACCGTGCTTTGATCTTCAACAATCCATTCTAAGAGCAAGCTTGTAAGACACAAAACTGCCTGTAAAGGTTATTTGTTTTTATTTTCATCAGGAAATTGGTTAAATACACAAAAGGCAGTGCTTTGACTTGCATTATGAATTATATTCCAGTGCTTTTAAGTTTATTGCAAATAATTTCAGTCAATTTTGCACTTTAAATTATAAATATTTGATAGTCATATGTCATTAACTTGTTTTTGTCGTTTAAACTACAGCGAGATCATTTAGCGTTTCCGATATGTGCATGTTGATGTATCTACAAAATCATGTTGGTTGGTACGACTCATGTATGACGGTCTTAGCACAACTCATAACAGTGTGCTTTGCAATCAGATAAACTTGTTATCCTTTTGAAAACAAACAAAAGACAATGTGAATTTGTTAAATGCTTGACAATTTTACATGACAATATTTTTGCAATACTTTATTATAAGGCATACTGTGCAAAGAGTTCACAATTTGAATAACATGATCATAATGAAATTAGTGACTATATAACATTTAGGGTATGACATTCCGATTTCTTTTATTATTATCTATTTGATTAATATCTAGGTAATCCAGTGGAATGTGAAGGAAGATATCGTTGTAGATTAAGTCTGGTTTGCATTCCTTTGTCACAGCTATGTGATAAGATAAAACATTGTCCATTCGGTGATGACGAAGAGATGTGTGACTTCGTTTGTCCTCGGCAATGTGTGTGCCAGCCGTTAATTGTCAACTGTTCAAACTTGCTTGACCGAAATGATACAATTAATATATCATCATCGACGCGAGTGTTAGACGTAAGCAATAGTGAAGAACTTGGTAGAGCTATTGTCTCAGATGAAGGAAGTTCACACCATGTACCCTTACTGATAAAGTTAAATGTATCAAATTGCGGAATTCAACATCTGTCAAAATATTCTTTCACTTTTCTAAGAAACTTGTTAACATTAGATATCAGTTTCAATAAGTTGAATGTTTTAGTTAGAGACACTTTTGTATTTCTAAAGCATCTTCAAGTTTTGAAAATGAATGGAAATGTGTTACTGTCTGCAATAGAGCCTGGGACATTCAATGGCATTTCAAATATTTCAATAGCAGTCAATGAAGCTAAAATCAAAGTTATAAACAAACACACTTTCGATGGCATAAACATAAATCATTTAGATTTATCCAATAATAACATTGAATCTATAGAAGACGATGCATTCGAAGGACTTAGTTGTAGATCAATTGATATAAGAAATAATCCAATAAAGGTGTTTGGTAAGAATATATTCTATGGGATAGAAGGGCTGACAAATTTGATAACACCACAGTACAAGTTTTGTTGTCTCAAACCAGTTTATCTTCTAGAAGATAGCTGTTTTCCTTATAAGGATGAATTCTCCTCGTGTCAGCATCTGATGAGGAACTCGACCCTTCAAACATTGTTATGGGTGATTGGACTTCTCGCACTGTTAGGGAATATTTTGTCCATTTGTTATAGACTTTATTTTGACAGCCAAAGACTTAAACTTGGTTACGGTGTATTCGTTACGAATTTGGCATTGGCAGATCTTTTAATGGGAATATACATGCTAATAATTGCTATCGCAGATCAAATTTACATGGACAGGTATTTATATATATTTTTTTGTTTTATTCACTTTTATTTGAAACAATTATTTACTAGGATCTATTTCTCATTAACCAAATGTCTTGTTTCTCACCGAAGATTACAACATGTCGTTACTAAGTTAAGACCGCAGCAGTTACATGTTTCCGGAAATTTGACTCAGCCAAACCAAAAGACACATTTTTTTTGTGAAAAGGAATGTATATTTTTGTAATAAAAAGTAACTGAAATGCCAAAAAAGAATGTTAAAGGTAAAGAATATTAATCATAACATAATGATTTTTCATTGTATCATACTTAATCAAATTAAAAGACTAGTCAGGCTAGGCTAAGATCAATGATTGCTATATTAGAAAATAAGTTTGATTTCCTGTAAAATGTACCGGGAAGAACTGAATATAAGAAGATCTACCATTGGCCATTTTGAATTACAAACTGGAATCTGGGAATCGCATTGACTATTATAAAAAAGAAAACAATGTTAAGGATGGTTCTTGCCATTTTAAAATTAAACTTAAAGGATAGTTCTTAAATAAAATCAAAACGATAATTCTTGCCATATGTTCTTGTCATTTGCATCGAAGACCTGTATATGCAAATTAACCAGTTTTACTTTTGCCGAGTATTATGTTTAAAGAGGCTTCTTGTTTTTCATAATTAGCAAACATATAAAGTTTTCTTTATCATTCCAGATATATTGAAGCGGACGAATATTGGCGTAACAGCGTGTGGTGTAAAATTGCCGGGTTTCTGTCGACAACATCATCAGAGGCTAGCGTCCTTCTCATTTGTCTTATCACACTAGACCGATTACTTGTGATCAAATTTCCATTCGGACAGTTACGATTTAAACCCAAATCGGCTTTATATGCTGTAATGGTTTCTTGGATAGTCTCAATAATAGTTGCGATAGTCCCTATATTGCATACTGATTATTTCAAAGGTCGCTTCTATAGTACCTCCGGCGTTTGTCTTGCTTTACCTTTGACGAATGACAGACCTCCAGGGTGGCTTTACTCCATGTTCATTTTTGTCGGGTTTAATATGGTAACCTTTACACTGATTGCCGCTGGACAGGTACTTATTTACTTTGAAGTGAAGCAGCAATCCAAGAGGCGATTGAAAATGCGTACATCACGTGCTAATGATCTGAAAATTGCAAGGAATCTCCTACTTATAGTTACAACTGATTTTATCTGCTGGTTCCCAATTGGTGTGATGGGTAAGTTGGTTCCTTTTATGTTACAATGCTTTAAATGGTGAGAATTTAATAGCGCTTCAGTCGGTGTAACGGGCATGGGAATTGTTGCATGAACCATAACTGATTCCATTAACTTAAGTGTTGAGGGTTGATTACCGCAAAACCAGTGCAATATATAGGGCATGACAGTTTATGCAATTCTTTGATCTTTCGTGTCATGCATTTTTATTTAGATAAGTGATCTAATTTTGACGTGAAGAATAACAATTACATGTATCAATTTTCATACAAGTCCCCACTTTTGTACCTATTTCGCAACATAACTTATTGACAAAAGAAATATATCTTTGTTTTAAAAACAACAAAGAAATACATGATCCTTTTTCTAATTGAAAATCTTTTTGTATTGACTAGCATTCGTTTTCTATTTTATACCTCTTTCTATTTACAGGAGTCCTTGCTACGATGGGTCACGTGATTCCTGGGGATATGTATGCCTGGACCGCTGTTCTGATTTTACCAGTAAACTCCGCTCTTAATCCATTCATGTATACGTTCTCTGCAATCTTTGGAAAGAAGGTATAAATTTGAGAGTTGAAATATTTTAAATTGACTCTTGTTAATCATTGTTTTGAAAATAAAGATTTCTCGTCTTACATTTTATACATAAATATTCACGAAGAGCTCTTTTTAATGTTGTGATGGAAGAATTATCAAATAAAAAATCTGTTAGAAACAACGGCAGAATAAATGACAGTTATCAAGGTATTCTATTTCAATAAATACCGTACAATTATTAATAGTATTGGTTAACAAAAACTTGTTTAAGCTTATCTAAACAATGATTAAGCAGTAAACTTAATGCATATGTGACAAACTGAACATACCAACATAAGAAGTAAGAAGTATAGCGTGGTCTATCTATCTTTTGTTACAGGCATCTCCGTCGTGAAGATGTACATATAATTTTTGTGCCAATTAAATGTTAAAAAGGATAACGCAAACATATTATTGTTCTGTATTCCATATCTGAAACTTTTGAGCATACTTATTATTCATTTCTTTTGCCATTTCATATGGCGAAAACATTGCAAAATTTGCAATTATAAACAGCGCCAACATATAAAGTGAACATGGCAAATGTGTTAACTAAATAAATGATGATTTTTGTGTTCGTGTTTTTTAGAAATTCCTTCCGAACATTGACGAACAGACAAGGAAAGAGTTATTAAAAGGTTTGAATACAAACACTTCTAAGCTATTTTTAGTAAAGAAAATTTATATTTGTGTCAAAACGTTGTTTTTTTTTTTCATCCAAAAGAGTCGAAGCTTTTTAGACATGGTCAACAGCACAAAGTAACAATTTGTACTTCTATGATTTATATGAGTGCTTCTATTTGAATAGTCAAATGTTTTTTATTGGCAAAAGGAAAGTTCTCGCAAGTTATAACGTCATTATTTCAGGGAAAATGCGAAATGGATCTCGTATTGTCGTACCTTCGCGCCCATATGAGGATAGCATTATAATTGCCCGGTACAAGACATCATTTTTGATCCACAAAATATTCATGATTCAATATTTCTTCGTGTTATTTCAAAGAAATTCAAGTCAAGATGCAAAAGAACCTTAAGTTAACGTCGTTCTTCATTAATATTTGTCAACTAACAAATACGCTGGCAATTATTTTCTTTCAGATGTTGGGCCTGCTGTACTGAACATTCTGCCATATTATTCCGGGAAACAAAGTGACGGTGCAGTGATAACGCTACGGGAATTATTGGATACTCAACATCTTACATTTCTTGATTGTGCTTTTATTGTACGCCATCTTTCCAACTATCTTACCATTCTTCATGGAGACGGTCTCGTGCTACAGCCAATCAATGAAGACAATATTTTGGTCCATGTGAATAATTTCAAGCAGGTAGTTTCATATAAAAATCTCAATTGCTATAATACCTGTAAAAAAGAAGAAAATAAACACAAAAAATTCTTTGTTCCGGAATTATCGCTTCAATAATTTGCCAATTTTTATTCTTCTAAAGTTATTCTTATTTACGTTTTCTGGTTATTAATTGTCCAATTTGGTAGTTGCATACAAATAACTTGAACATATTTATTGTCTTTTCGTTGGCTTCTTACGTCATTGATTACATAACGAAATAACAATTGCAGTATTTAGGCGTGCAGCAACAATGACTAGTGTATGCTTTCAGTATCTTCACTAACATACAGCCTATCTGGACCAGTATAACTTCTGCACACCCATACAGTCTGACCATTTGCACACACATACATTCTACCTGGACCAGTATAACTTCTGCACACCCATACATTATGTCCATCTGCACACCAATACAGTCTGACTGGACTAGTGTAACGTTTACAAACATATACAGTCTGATATGGCCTGTATAAAGTCTACACATACCCGGACTAGTCGCAAGTCTACACACCCGTCTCACCGTCGCTCCTCAATTTTTTTACTTTGATATCACTACTACTTGTATTAAACAACATATATTTCCTAATTTAACAACGACAAGTCTACTGCACATACAAATTCTGCAATGAATAGATGACGAATCAGATGAAGATTCGAGAAAGATTATCTTGAATTTATTTATTTATTTATTTATTCATCATTTTTATTTATTTATTAATTAATTTATTTTTCCCTTTATTCGTTTTTTTTACTTTATTTATTTATTTTCTTTATTCTTTCTTTACTTTATTTATTTATTTATTAATTCATTTATTTATTTGCCAGATTCGGAAACACGTGCAGGTGTCTGTAACGCCAGTTTTGTCATCAAAGAAGGTTGACCAAGAAGAAGATGTGTATAAACTGGGACTAATAACGCAGAAATTGTTGCAGAATGTCGGGAAATGCTGAGATATCCTATATTTATATCAAAACAATGAGATATCAAATGTTTGTTATGTTGCACAAAAGTGCGTGTAATTGGTTACATTGGTTTTGAATTCAAACTCATTTCGAAGACGATGATCCATCAACAAACTTTTTATATTTTTTAATTTTTAAGCATTAGTTCTAGATAAATGTTTTCCGAGAAATGGACACTACTCGGAATAGAATATGGTCAGTGTTTTCATAAACCAATCGGTCGCAGATGCATTGATTAAAACATTAAAAACTTTAATTTTTGTTTTATTGATCGTAAATGTGTTGTATCGATGTGTTGCTTTGAAAAAAAAATACTTGCACTGTTAAAGTTTTTTTATACTTTTCTTCGTCAACTTTTTTAAAAGGCAGATCCAAAATATTTAGGATAGTAGATTTGGCGTTTAAAATAAAACTATTCGACAAAGGCAAATGTGAAAAAAAATATTTGAGCACTGTCTTGCAATTTGTTGTTTTAATGACATAATATGTCAACGTCATATATGACGTCAAAGTCATACCGGAAGATTAAAATTGTAATTTTGTTAAAGCTGTTGTGGTTCTAAGCATTAAGTTGTGTTTTTTTTGTAAATTGTGTTTGGAATGATATTACATTAATTGAGCGTTTGATTAATGATATAGTTTATTAAATGAGTCGTGTGTAATAGTATCATTTATATATATTGTAGCGAAAATATGTTCTAAAGAATCTATGACGTATTGTATTGTAGCTTCACTAGTTATTGTAACCATTTCTGTAAAATAAACAGTGAGTCTTATTCTCAAATGAGTTCAGTATTTCGTCTATGCCGCCATCCATATTTCAAGACTATTTTTTCTCCTTCTAGCTGTATACCGCCATCAATTATATTATGAAAATTGAATTCTCCATTCATCTGATCTTGATTTAAGAGATGATATCAAACTCAATTATTAAATTTTTATATCAATTAGTATTGCATTGTACATGCAATTATTTGCCGGTAGTCATAGACTATTAGTACACGGATAAACACAAGACATAGCAGCAAGTTCAGTTCCTCCCATGGGATATATTATAATGATTCAGAACATTAATATTCCATTGATATTTTATTGCCTCCAGTGGCAAACAAAAGCATCGGCATTTAAGCCACAATTAGGCCCTTTAAATATGTACGTATCCAAATAAATAAATCATAATAAAATCCGTAAGCTTTTAAGCAATAGATGGAGTCGATAAATGGAAGAGATTATACTCTTCTCCATATCTAATTGTATTAATACGGAATTAAGATGGATAGAGTAAAGTTGAATGTGTCCGGGACGTATTTCGAATTTGATAAAAAATTATTAAAGGAAGGAAAAAGTCCAAAGTTAACTAGAATATGTAGCGAGTCACGAAAGGAGGGTATACCGATGGAAGCAACAGTGGACTGCTCGCCATTTGTATTTGGTTCGATCCTGGCATACCTTCAAATGGGAGAGCTTCATATTCCGCCGGGAGTTTGTCCCGGTGCATTTCGCCGGGAAATGGAATTCTGGGAGTTGGATTATGACTGTCTCCATTCATGCTGCGTGTTCAGGTAATTTTATAACGAAAAGTATGGATATAAAATCATACATTACACAGCACGTATTCTACTCATAGTCTCCTAAATTATGTACGAAAGACATTCTAAGTATTTTTAATTTAAAGAGAATAAACACGGTGCCAGTGTATAACATTAGAAATAAATGTATAACTGATGTTTTACAATGTAACTAAATTTCTCCAGTAAATCTTCAGTACAACAACAATACATTATCAAAGTAAAAATAATTAATAGTATTAATTATTGATATCTACTATTTAAACAATTAAATACTTTTAATATTCTTTGCAAAAATATACATGTCTAGATATCAATCATTCCTGGACGAAGAAAAGACGAGAGAGGAATTTTTTCGTAAAGCTCATCCTGCGAAAACAATGGTGGCACCAATATCCACGCTTCCTGTTTCCGGTTATGCGTCAAGATGTAAATCAAAACTATGGGGAATCATTGACAACAACGAGAACTCTATACCAGCAAAGGTTGTTTTTATATACTACTTACTTTTTATTTATTTTTGTTATTTTGTAAGTACGTGCCAACAATTGTATTCCATTTTGCTGATGTAGGGCTTTCACCTTGTTAGACAATTTAAAAAAAAACTCCGCATGCATGTATACATTATTGGATAGATCCCCATGACTCGGGCTCAATGTAAAAACAATTATATGCAAAGATGGTCCCGGTTATTCTATTTGTTTTATTTTCAAAACATAACTGTCAAATGACATCACACTAGCACGTGGAGAAGCTTGACACAAGCAATGGTCAGTATGAAATAGAGATAACGAAACTCAGAATTACCAATTTAGACGTATACTTTTATGCAAGAATTAAGTTAATGCACCTTTCTTCTTGCATTACCATCTGTACAAGCCCTCGGCCGTATTTAATCCTTCGCCTTTTGTCCTCGTGTTTCTGCAGAGGTTCATGCACGAAAAAGGTACACTAATTCATTTGAGACGTCTTCGGTACATATGCCCATGAAAACTCGCATTTGACTGTTATAGCAAAGTTGTGGTTTGGAAAATGTTGTAGATAACATCGCGACAAAAACATTATCACGCCCGGCAAACTGTCGCTCCACTTCAAAAGTGTGGTGTACGGTAAAACGAGCGAACGGCATTTCCAAGATAGAGCGGAAGACCGATTAAAACGGATAATTGTAAGTGTTGTTTAATTTTATGTCTTGTTATTCATTTAAATTGTATTTTTTCGAAAAACGGAAACTGTAGTTCCGTGTAAGATTGATTTAGGCTTTCAATGATCTAAGCTGTTACAAATAGCCCCGGAGAACATTTCTCCCTGACGAAGAGAACGACGATTTGTAGAATATTGAACTTCCCAACCATTAAAATGCCATACCCTTCGGATTTCTTTAAAAAGTGTATTACGAATATATCAACCCGTAATAAGAACTTGTCCTTCGTGCATTATAAATTACTCCTGAATGATTTCTTAAATTTGTAAATCGATATTTTTCGAAAGTAGTGGAGCCAAAGGGCAAGAGATGGAGCGAAAGGTTCGATGTTGAGCGCAAGGCGATATCAATTTGGCATATTGGGAGGAGGTGGTCATGAATTTTTATATATAAAAGCTTTAGAAGTTAAAATCGACATTTTGTTAGTTTATTCAGAGTATCTGTGAACAAAACGAACGTAATAAAAAAGCAGTTCTCAGTCGGTGTACGGACTAAAATAATTAATAATTGAAAGGCCTAGTTATAGTAGAAATAAATTATTATCTTATCATATTTCTCCGGCTTCACATTTTAGTATGTCTATTTTAACTTTGAAAGATTTTATTTATAGAAATTCGTAGACTATGCTCTTTACACCAACTTAATGTCGCCTTGCGCCCAACAACCGACCTTTCGCTCCATCTCTTGCCCTTTGGCTCCACTACTTTCGAAAACTTTTAAAAAGCCACCAAGAGTAGTTTATTTTGCACGAAAGACTAGCTCTTGTTACGAGTTTATATTTTTGTAAAACACTTTTTCAAAAAATCCCAAGTGTAGAGCGTTTTCATGGTTTGAATTTGACATTTAACAAATCGTCGTTCTCTTCGTCAAGGGGAACAGTTCTCTCAGGCTTGATATAACTTTGTTTTTGTAACAGCTTAGATCATTGGAAGCCTAAATCAATCATACACGGAACTACATTTTCCGTTTTTCGAAAAAATGCAACTTAAATGAATTACAAGACAAAAACATAAACAACATTGACAATTATCCGTTTAAATCGGCCTCCATAAAAAATTCATAATTAATTTCGTTTAAATGGAATAAAGTTGTAAATGTGTCATAAACCAACCACTTCCCATTATCTATTTGTTTTATTTTTCTCCTTTTTGATTTTTTTTCCTTTATCTTATTTGAAGTGATTTAATATTGTAGTGAACATTAAGAAAGTACTACAAGAAAATTTGAACATTGTTGAAGGACAATAATGTTTTTGTTTAATTATTTTTTTTTAAATAAAAAATGTTTTTGTGTTGGTTTTTAAAAATTTTTAACCCTTTTTAAAGTCAAAGCATGTAAGTCTGTATGGGGTAACCCCGAAAATTTAAAGCAAATTAGTCAGACTTTTTCTCCCCTTTTTGACAGAAGGTTTAAAAAATTAAACCTACCCCTTCCCCCTTTTTACAAATTTTTTACTAAAAGAATTAACAGTTTAAATTTTTACAGTACGTAAGTGCTGTGTTGTGTTGGGAAAATGTTTATGGGTTTTTAAAAATGCATGGAAAAGTTAGCACAATTTAAATGTAGGGGAAAATTCAGTGCTATTAAAATTCCCATGTAAAATTCAGTGTGCGTCATATTCCTAAAAAAATTCGTTTTGTTTTTTTTGTTTTTTGTTTAAAAATTTCCCCAGTACATTCTGTAATTTAATATAACTTTTTTTTATATTAAAAATTCAGTATTTTGCAAATCAATCCATCTCTGAATATCTAATCTGAAAAAGTTTTAAAAATGTAGTTACTATCCTATATTTTCCAAAAATATTGACCTGGCACTTCATTTAAATTTTCCCAAAAATCAGGGGGTAAAATAAATTGCCCTTTCTAAATTGAAATTTGTTAAAAAATTTTTGTGTTTGAAAAAATTTGGTTAAAATTCTAAGTAAAATTGGGGGTTTTATTTTTTTTTCTATTCTGTTTTTAGCTTTACTTCATAAAAATCCGACGTTGGGGGTTGTATCAAAATTTGTTTTTGCCTAAATACCCAATTTAAAGCGTTGTTTTGTGTTGTTTTTGGGAATCAACCCGGTGTTAAAGGGGTAAAAAATTCCCTTTTTGTTTTGTTTTTTTTTAGCTTTTACCTGAGCTTGCTTAGAGAGAGCTTTTAGGATCGTTGAACGTCCGTCGTCCGTCGTCTGTAGTAGTCCATATTTGTTCGTTAACACTCTAAATAGTGGTCATATTTTGCCTCAATCATCATGAAACTTTGTCAGGATGCTTGTCAAGGTAATTGCTCGGATGAATTCGAACATGGGTTACCTCAGATGAACAACAAGGTCATAGGAGCTAAAAATAGAAATATCTTGTTAACACTCTAGTGGCTTCTGTATTGATTCAATTATCCTGGAAATTGCTCTGAAAGTTTGTTTTGATAATTGCTTGTTCTAGTTTGAAAATGCATCACATAGGATCAAAAACTAGTTCACAAAACCAAATATAAAAAAAAACATTGTGAACACACTAGTCCTCAAATTTTTGACTCAATTGCCATCAAATTTATTCAGAATGCGTGTCAAAATAATTGCTTAGATGACTTAAAACATGGGTCATTTCAATGAAAAACTAGGTCACAGGAGCTAAAAATAGAAAAAAAATCTTGTTAACTCTCTAGTGGCTACTGTTGTTATCCAAATATTCTGTAAATACGTCTACAAGTTTGTTTTTATGATTTCTAGATCAAGTTCGAATATGGGTTACCTAGGGTCAAAAACTAGGTCACACCGCCCAAATATGGAAAAAACATTGTTAACACTCTAATAGTCACATTTTTGACTCAGTTGTCATCAAACTTATTCAGGACGATTGTCAAGTTAATTGCTCAGATAACTTAGAACATGGGTCATTTTAAATGAAAAACTAGGTCACAGGAACTAATTTTTTTAACTTGCTCTGGTGGCTACTAGCTGTTGTTATCCAAATATCCTGAAAAATGGTGGCAAGTTTGTTTTGATGACTTTTAGGTCAAGTTCAAATATGGGTTACCTGGGGTTAAAAACTAGGTCACACTGACCAAATGTGGAAAAACATTGTTAACACTCAAGTGGTCACATTTTATTACTCAATTGTCATTAAACTTCGTCAGGATGCTTGTCTAAGTAATTGCACGGATGAGTTCAATGGGTTGGTGAGCGATATAGGGCCATTTTGCCCTGTTGTTTTTTATTTCCTCTATAAGTTCGATTCACTGATCCGATGGTAGCACTGCTTGTATACCAATTTCAGTTGGACTTTCCTCAAAATAATCAACAATTTGTTTAACTTCCATGAACAGCGATATTTTGAAATTTCGTCTCAAGCATATCTGATCGCATGGTTAAAAAAGCTTTCTAAGGAAATCCGAAGCACAATGAAGGCGAAACAAATACGGTGGCAATCAGATCTACATACAAGAAATACCTTAATTGAATAAATGACGTTTAAAAAATATAAATAAGTTTTTTGTTGTTGTTGTTGTTTTTGTTGTTTTTTTAAACTGGTGTCATGCTTTTTTCAATCAACATGTGCACACACAAATTGTTGTTGTTGATGTTGTTTGTTTTTAAATTTAAAAGCATCTTTTTATTGTCTCGACTTACTGAACAGGTGCGGGACATTATTGGCCAACCAATCTGTACGGAAAAAGGATCGTGGTTAATAGCTGCTGGTGATTGGGACTTTGACTACTTTGATTATGACAACTATGATTGGGATAAGCCTAAGGGTAATCTAGCCTTCAACGAGAGCAATACAAAGAAAAACGAAAATTTTAAATTGTGTGGGGAAAAATTTTACAAAGAGGAGAAGAAAAACAAAATAAAAACCCATTCACTTTCCCGAATTCTCTTTAAACCAATTTTTCAATATTTTGGACATTGCGAAAAAGTTGTTTTCGGTGTTTTGTTGGTTTTTGTTTTGGTTTTTTTTGTTAAAAAATTTTTAGAGCCTGGCTTTAAATTTTCACCTACTTTTATTTATAATCGTGTCTGTTGAAAGAAAATATCTATACGAACCATCGCCCTCGGTGATTTTATTGAATTTTGCACAGGTGTTTCGAGCTTTAAGGCTCTTTCGTGTAGTGAAAAATGTCCGTGCTAGCAAAGTGCTCGATTCTCTTTAAAAAGTGCGTCAAAAAATGACGCTTTTGATCATTTATTTTTTTGGGGTTTTTCTTTGTTTTTTTTGGGGGTTTAAGTGTTGTAAAAGTTGGGTTGGGGTTGTTTGGGTGGGTTGGTGTTGTGGATTGGAAATGCTATTTTCGCTGTGTGAAATTTGGGGGTTTTTTATCCTCTCATTACTTTTGCCGATGTTTGTCAACAATTTCTTAACTCTGTATCAATACTCGTGTGTCAACGAGTCAATAGAGAGAAAAAGGGACATGAAAGAAAGAAAAAGCAAAACGGAAGAATGGAAATGCAGTGAAATTGTTGATCTTGACGACCTTAAAACGTCTAACTATTCAGAAACTGACCTACCGCCCTCTTACAGATCACCGCGAAATAATTCGCTTGCGGACGTAAAAAAGTAATGGTTTAATGTAAAATTTGTAGAATTATTTTCGCTGAATTTTCTTAATTTGAGGCGTATTGTGGTAGTTATTATTTATAACCTCAGACTTAATACGGATTGAACGTAGTTCTATCACGTGGTTTTAAATGTAAGCGAACGCGATAAAATACTCTGATGAGAACTTGTTAAAGGGTGATTACGAAATGCCATTATCCCTTCATATTATTTTATATCAATATTCAAATTAGATGATGAAATATAGTTTTTACAAAAAAACTTAGTCCTTTTGTTTTATTTACCCTGCGAAAGAGTGTCAACTTTGTTCTGCAAGACTAGTATATAAGTTTGTTAGTAACAGTAAAAAATATCATCACGAGGAAAATACTTTTTACCCGAGGCGTTGAGATACTGTTTCTTTATGTTTTTTATTTATTTTTCAGATTTATTACTGTAAAAAAGTACTGTACTAATGTAACTTAAACTTTATTTAACTTGAATGTTAACTTGAATAACTCCCATTGGCCTATGGGAATATGGGGTTGTAACATAAAACATATGCAACCGTTCTGACATTTTTATACAACTTATAAACAGTAGAACAAGTAAAATGGTTTCCTGCGGTGAATATTTTAATGATATAAAGATATTTCATTTAACTATTTTCAGCATTATTGGGAAATAAACGTTTGTATCAGAGGAATATAGTTGACAATTGAATAAACGATCAATATAGAAGAAGGTCTTTGGAAACTGGTGACCGTTGAAGACCTGAGAAGATCGAACATAAAACGATTATTTCTTTTTAAGAAAATGATTAAATAGGTCTACCATTTTATGAATAATTCCAAGCAAACAATAAATAAAGTAAACACACAAGTTTACACAGAAAATATCTCTATTTATTATGGCAGATGCCATTACGAATATTTTAGTTTTGTAGATTTTCAGTATAAACAATTTATTGTTTGTAAAATTTTAGATAGATATTAAAGAAACATTGATAACTTTCAAACACATCATTCAAGTTTTTCCAACTTAAACGGTAAAGTAATTATAGAAAATTAGAAAAATCACGTAATAGTTTTTTGTTCTTAATTAGGTGTAATGCGAACTAATTCCCTTCAGGTAAATCCGTAACGTACCGGCAAACGGTATTTAGCTAGGTTTTCGAAAAGGTCAATTAACCAATCATGTACGGTTTACAGATCACATGCTCCTCCATGTACCGAAAACAGGTCACATGCTCCTCCATGCCTCAAAAGTTAAACACGTACCAATACCCTGCGGTCTCCAGACCGCATGGAATTTTTGTTTTTCACATTGTCTTATTGTCAACGAAGGAATTGTAACATAGAATATATCTTGAACATATAACGCAAAGAAGAGTAACATAAATTGGAAAAAATATTATTCTGCTAATTTTAAAAATGTTGTTACCATTTAACATGTCGCCCATTAGGATATTTTCTAACAAATTTTTATTATATAGGTATTTTAGAATTATCTTTTTTCTGTCAAAATTAAAAAAAAATGTAAACTACAGATGCAGATATATTTAACTTTATATTCCTTAATCAGAATTCGGAACAAAGTATAGACCTTTTTAAATTGTGAAATATTACTGGGTGTTGAAATTTGAAATTGACTGAAATTATAGTTTACGATCAGAGAAATATATTAATGGTTATGTAGCTTTCCAATTCAACAAAATAAAAGCTTTCTTGAAAACAAATATGATTCCTTTTTATTCAGCGCAATTAAAAATAGTAATAAAAATGTGTATTTGTTTAACATTGTATAACATTTAAAGTTTGTATTAAATCTACATGATCTGTTGGTTTGGTGTATTTGTTCACTCTAATACTCTTTAAGTGTCCCGACCAATAAATCATTTTGAAATAACTATATAATTAGTGTATGCTTTGAACGATTAAAGGCCTATTAAGACTCAGAAATGCTTCTCAAAAACTTTTTATTTTCGGCAACTAAAGTTACCTATTTGCCATACAATTGAACTATCTTTTGCTTTTATTTGTATGTAAGTCAAACTACCACTTTGTTTACATTTTGCTACCTTAACGAAACATAACTTCACATTCAGCGCTACTTTCCTCAACTGTTCAGCATCTAACATGTTCTAAATCCATTATTAAAACAATACTTAACAAACGTTTGATATTTCTAAAGAATTAACTAAATATTGATTTTAATACAATTCACAATGGTATCATAATGTTAGGCTTTGTGTTAATATTGACACATTTTTAATGGACGATGTAACGTAATTGTCATATTAAATGTTTACCCACGCGGGGCTTGAACTCAATATTATAGAACAAATGTTTGGTTTTGTAAGAACGATATTGTTGTAATTTTTGTTTCATTTCATTTACGATATGAGAAGTGATCGATTGATTTGTGATGTTTTGATGAACCGGTTGTACCGTGATTTCTAGTAATCAAGACAGCTAAACGTCTATGGTGAGGTATTTAGAAGTCAATTGTTGCGATAGTAAACAAGTCCCTTTAAAATGATTTATTTCATGCTTTCCAGTGTTTTATTGTAATATATCAGATGATAATATTCTGATAAACCACTAGTGAAATTTATAAAATATAATTTTCACTGTAGCCGGACTATATCCGAATGCGGATGAAAAGAAAATCATAACTAAATAGAATAACAGTCAGAAATAAATGCCGTCATACGTAAATTGTGCTTCTTTAGGAAAAGAACGTCGATGTTACCATACATCATGTTAAAAATGTAACAAAATTAGAGAAATTTAACAGAACTATATTTCAAAATTGATGATGTGACGTCATGATGTGATGACGTCACAAAGGAGAATGCGCGACGTTACGCGGCAAAATCAGTAAAAAATACTTAAAATCACTTAAAAAGCATGAAATAAAAAGAAAATTTATTTGTTTTACATATAAGATAGAAATATATTTCATTCGTGAACACCAGCTATTATATTTTCACTCGTGGCTACGCCACTCGTGAAAATATTGCATCTGGTGTTCACTTAGTGAAATTATATTTCAATCTTACATGCAAAACAAACAAATATCCTCTATATACTTTCTTTGTAGTAAACTTACAATTTTACTTTTATCACATACTCGTGCCGCATTAGCAACACCGTAAAAATGTATACAAATGTGTTGTTTTTTCTCTCTCCCTTATTTCCACTGTGTTACTAAATTATATAAGACGGACTAAAAAGTCATGTAATATTGAATACTTGACCATCACCTTTAAATTGAAGATTTTTACAGAATATGTTCATGTCTGCCATTAAAAAATTAGCACACAATCTTTCTAAAATCTACAAAGCGGTTAAAAATGATAGTCCCCCCTTCAGACAAAGCCTTTGAGGTCATTCTAACATTATAGGGACCGACAAATTAAGCCTAGTAAGTTGATAACATTTCGGTTCTTGAATGCATGAAAATAATATAAAACTATTCATTATATAACATTAACCATTTCCCTCATATAGACGTGTTTTGACGGCTTTTAGTCCTCCCCCTTTTTTGAGGCCTCAAACAGTGAAAAAATGCCCTATTTAGGTCCGAAACACTGTTTTTTGTTTGAGAAATGTTGATGAAAAAAGTGACCACTTTTTCGGCTCCGCCCACCATCAAAATGGTACATCAGGGTGTTGCCAGAAGGGAATGTACCCCCTTCTGTTTGTGGGGTTTGAAGGCGGGGGGGGGGGGTGATAGTCCCCCTCATCGCCAAGAAAATTTTGGACATGTGCCTGGCTAAAAATGGCCTGAGGTCAATCTTAGGGTAACTAGTAACCGACACTGAAAAGCCTTTTACTCTATCTCAATTCATTGAGAAATTGCAGCACTTTGAAATCAGTTTTGATGGGAAAAAACAATGCAAAAATAGTGTTTTTGGCAATTTTTAAAAGTCCCCCGTTGCCATGGTAACAGGAAATTTAAGATTGAGCATGTTGTTACAGAGTTAATTTACGATTGAACATACTGTTACAGGGGCTATGGTCCAGTCAACATTTGTGCTAAGTTTCATCAGTATTGAAGCATTTTTCATAGTTTCATAGCAGTTTGAACTTGTAACAGGAGGGTTTTTAATGAAAACGGCCATTTTTCACAATATGCTCATGGGGTAAAATGTTAAGAAAAACATTTCATGTAAAACATTTAAACATTAAAAAAATACTTTCAGCACACACCAAGTTGATCTGTCATGACGAAAAATCTTCATAAAATCTAAAAATGCGTTAAAAATGTTAATTTCCACCCCAGACAATGACTTTAGTTTTGATGAACCGCTGATGACTTTTTGAAAATTTATATAATTTTAAAAGTCCCATTGTTTCTTACATACGTAAATAAGTAAAGAAGAAAGTGATTTATGCATAATATTGAATGATATTTAGTCTTGTTTTCTTGTAAGTCGGATCTGTTCCTTTACTGTTTCACAGATATGATATAAAGTGATACATGATATGATATGATGTGACATGATCTGCTATATGATGCGATGTGATATGATGTAATATATAAAATGATGTGATATGATTTATGATATGATATATAATATATGATATGATATGATATGATATGTTATGATGATAATTTTTGATCACGTGTTTTAGAAATTTTAAAACTCGCGTGCTTAATACGTCGCACTTTCAGATCAAATCGAATCTGTGATAATTTGTACTTATTTGTTCCTGATTTCTTTGTTTAGTATGGCTTTCCTTTTCATATGAATATGTTCTTGAAAACTTTATAAATCACGGTGACCTTCTGAATTTTCAAAATAGTAACGTGTTTATTATGTTTCTTTTCCATAGACATGATGTCATACAATGTATATTAATTAATATGGATATAATATTTGCTTGTCGTAATGTACGGAATCGATACATTTTTCCATTTAAAATATTTTCCTTTTTTTACATTTTAATTGGTTTATAAATTGAATAATGCGTGGCGATTATCGATCATACCTTGGTCACAGATATACAATTACAGATTATTTAATTGAAATATTGAAGTCTATAATAAAACATTGTCATGTTCCTTTTGAATTCCATTTCAATAGAGTAATCTTTCATGTCATCCATATCAAAGGATTCTGTTACGGTTCTAGATTCAGACAAATACATCGTATGCAATATTAGTTCAAGTGGATTTATATAATTTAGAACTTGATCGGCGGTGTTTTGCTGGTGAGGCAGAATTAATGTTAACGGATCTAAAGTTATCACGGGCTTTGTTAGTAATGGGTGTAACAAATACAAAAGTTTGAAAGGAAATTAAACAAAAGCAGATTTCAATAGAAACGAGATCTTTCAAATGGGACTTAATTTCATTTCTAGGATATAGATAAATATGGCGAGTAAAATGTGTTTTGTTTTGTTTGTAAATTATAAATGAAATGGGTTAAAATAAAGAAGAAAAACTTCCTTAAAAATGACTAGGGTAAAAATAAATGTTTCTGGGACACATTTTGAATTTGACCGGAATATTGTGAATGAGAAAACATGCCGGCGACTGAGAAAGTTATGTGACCAATGTCCCGTCGACAAACCAGTAGAATTAACAGTTGATCGGTCGGCAATTGCATTCGGTGCCATACTTTCGTACTATCAGACTGGCGAATTGCATATTCCGCCGGGAATATGTCCCGGTGCTTTTCGTCGGGAGATGGAATTTTGGGATCTGGACTCTGATGCACTGCACGAGTGTTGCTTGTACAGGTATAACACCACGTTACGTTTATACAGATTTTATTTTAGTTCGATTGTATAGGAAGCTAGAAGCTTATGGACACACTTTCGAATCTGTTCCTGGAACCAACCAGTACTGAGCAATAAGTGTAAAGTTTCTTGCTCAAGGAAACAACCCTGCACTTGTCCCTGACGGGTTTGAACCCATGCGCCTAGCGACCATTAGATTATTAGTCCGACGCGTTAACCTATCGGCCATGACGCTACTCTTACGCCTCTTTTTTATACTCGTATGTTCAAGTTGATATTTTAACCATTGAATTTTAATTTAAACAAAATTTTAACATTTTTTTTAAATTTAAAACACAACTGTGAGTTTAATAATATCAATATACTGTACAAGACCATCAAAATGTTTTCTTTTTTTTTCATTTGTTTAACAATACCGTTCATTTAAATACTAAACTGCATTTGTTTCATTTTTTCACAATTTCGAATTTTTCAATTTCGTTTAGAATCTAGAAAAAGTAAATTATATAAAAACTCAAATTATTGAATTATTTTATAATAAAATGACACAAATATAAAGTAAGTAAGTAATCTATTTATTTATTCATTAAGGTGACCTGTGTAAACATATCTTACAAATCAAATTATGTACGGTAAAATTTAATCATTTTTACAAGGCCCATTTGTTATATTCATACACACCTCTACTGTGCAGATCTCTTTTTCCGTGGTCAGGAAGCCGATTAATTATAGTTTTAAACATTCAGTGTACACGTTTGTAAACTAAAAAAAATAACTATCACGATAGAAAATAGTACTTAATTGTTTTTCATATTAAAAATGAAGAGAAAATGACTGTGTAACACATTTTAATATTTTATAAGAGGAACAGATAATAATTCACGAAAGTTCAACTAAAGTATGAAATAATAAGAAAAGATTGTTCACGCTTTTGTCTTTCTTTGAGTTTAGGATAGTATTTATTAGTAAGCATTTACAAAATTAACTTGGTCAAGAACGGCGCAGCCATTCGACCAATTTAATTAACTTAAAGTAAATCCGTACTAATAGACACACACTAATGAAGTATTTCACATCATTTTTTTTGTATAAAACTGTCGACTGTTTACTAGACTGATTAAAATTAGCCGTTTAACAAAGCAAATGTGTTAAGAATTATTTCTAAGACAGTGGATCATGTTGAGTGCATTGAAAAACACAGGTATTCAACATACATATCTAAATTTTGTTACGGGAGGGCTTTTATCCGCCTTGTTAAAATTTCAAGGGAGGACTTTTGTCCACCCAGTCATTTTCATAGGAGGGCTTTTGTCCGCCCTGTCATTTTCACGAGAGGGCTTTTGTCCGCCTCGTCATTTTTTGAACAGGGGGACTTTTTGTCGGGGGGGGGGGGTGAGCTTTATCCGTTTCCCAATCTAACGTGGCAACCGCAAGTTGTTGCTACGATTGACATCAGGAATTTGAAACTGAAATAGACCGTTTTCGCTGGCCACATAAAACATTTGGCCATGTATAACTTATATGTTACATTGATTTATGTATTTTTATACTTTTTTTTATACTTTTGAAAAATAAAAAATAAATATATATTTTGTATCATAATTTGACGATTTATATCCAATATAAATCTGATAAACAGCAAAAAAATGTTGAATGGAATATTTTAGATATCAAGCATTCCTTGACGACGAGGAAACCCGCCGGCGATTCTTGAACAAGGCTCTTCAACCGACGCCGGCGACATCGCCTGTAATCCAGTCAGCGGTAATCGGTAGCTTAATGACGTACAGATCAAAATTGTGGAAAGTAATAGATAATAACGAAAATTCTATAGCTGCGAAGGTAAACAAATTTTACCAGATTAAATCAGTTTCCAGATAACCAATTTAATTTCATTAGATTTCACATTTAAAGGCAATGTTAAATCTGCAAAATTTGTTTTTTTATTTTTAAGCAAAGAATATTTAAAAATGAATAATGGTTTAAAGAATCATAGATGTTCGTTACCTGATGAAATTGGTGATCAATGTGAAATAATTTAACATAAAGGTAGCAAAATGTAAACAAACTAGTATTTTGACTTCATACAATATACTCATTCACTGTAACTTATTGCCAAGAAACAACAGATTAAAAAGATGTAAGTAATTGACCAGTGAGTTTTTTGATATTATAAAAGTGCACCAACGCTTTTAAAAAAATAAAAGTTAAAGCTTTTCTGAGACTAATGGACCTTTAAATAAATATCATTGCAATAAACTTTACGGGAGTTATCTCCATAAGACTTTAATTACACGAGTGATACAAAATATATGTCTATAAAATCACACGTGAGGTATTGTTTTGATTGTTTATTAAAGGGTCTCCACTGAGGTTTTTGACATGACAGGACTGGGATAATTTTTCCATTTGATGTAGATCTTAATGAATTACATGTGTGCAAAAGATTGGGGCCGTTTCATCAACGTGTCGTAGCACGTTGATAAAACGTCCCCACAATGTTTTCCCACAATAATTATACTTATTGTGAGAAAATTGCCAAAACTTAAAAGCGTTGCAACGTTTTTCACTCATATTGGGCTAAGGATAGCATAAAAAGGCGGATTTTCAATTTATTTCTGAGAATATTTCTTACTTATCTTTTGCATATCTTTCTGTTTTAAAAGTGAACCATTTGATCTATGTAAGAAATTAAAATTTCATGTTGTGAGAATTTTAGACCTCAGTGGAGTTCCTTTAATTTCCTGTTAATAATCCGGTTGTTTCATCTCGGCTCAATTCAACCATCGCTGCCATAATCTCCATTGCATGGAGTAATATTCACATTATCACGTTCCGCATCACAGTATTACAAATACAGAAATTGAATGTAAACTTTCTTTTTATATAATTAATTAAAATGGCAAAACTTTTATGTCCCGGTTAATTAAAGGCCCATTATAACTCAGAAATGCTTTTATTTTGATTTTTCAAAAGTTTTTAATTTTGGTATCCAAAAAGTAACTCATTGGCAAATTACTGGAACTATCTTTTTCATCTGTTGCTTTAGTTACAGGTAATTTGTATGAAAGTCAAAATATTACTTTGTTTGCATTTTGCTAATTTTATAACAAATTATTTCACATTTATTGCTACTTTTTCAGGTAGTATATCTCTAAAACCATGTTTTTAAACATTATGAAGTTTATGTTTTTAACTTAGTCCTTTCAAAAGAAGTAAACATTCATTTGTTTCTTAGGCATAATGTGCCTTTAAGCTTCGTCAGTTTTATAAATTTGATGAGTCTTATCAGTGGGCGGTACTTATATATATATATTTCTTTCTTGTAAAGTATCCATTTAATTTGAAGTTGTTTTTGTCCAGGTTTATTTTGTGCTTGTATTTGGGATGGTGTTGCTGTCAATTCTCGTACTGGCTTTCAGTACGGTTCCATCTTTGAGACGTGGGGTCTCCAAATGTGAGCTTCTGGAGTACATAGAAAACGCCAAACGTGAATACTATGACAAGGTACGTGCTGTAAAAACCAAAATTAATTAAATTATAGATCTGTCGGGATAAAACAAGGAGAAATATTAACGGTTTATTCTTTCATGTTAATTAAGTGTAGAATCTTCTAACATTCCCGAAGGTGTCGTGCTCTTATTCAAGTGTGGAAATTCACTGCCTCGATAATGAGAAGTTTACGCATCAAAGATATAATGAAGTATAGCTTTCTTTTTGCGTGTAATAAATGTAAGGACTACTAGTATAAACAATGTGTCATTCTTTTGACACGTTAGATGGCATTGAAGAATGATAGATAATTTAATCAATAGAGTATATTGATGTTTCCTGTCAATCCAAAGAATTCTTTGTCACATATTCCTGATTTAATGTCCCTAAAGATAATAAATGAATTATTACTGACAACAAAGTTTATACAAATCAATTTGAAATTTTATTTTGAATGGTGTAAAGCTATAAGAATATTTATATCTCAGAAATGTATTCCTTATGTAAGTTGGGTTTAGATGATTGGTTTTTACGCCAAGATTTTAACAAATCATTGTTTATAATATCTTGGCGGTTTTCTCAATTTGCCAATAATTACCAATTTCTCTGCAAGTGGTCGACCGACTAGCAACTATTATAACCCCACATGATTCGTGAACTAATGGTGCCTGGTAAATGACCTTAAGACTCAATGTCCGGTTGAAACGGAAATGTTCTGCCTTATCTGAGGATCGGACCAACGGCCCTTGCATTACAAATCAAATACTCTTCCGACTGATCTAAGTGGGCGGTTTCCTTTATACATGTATCAGAATTATAATAGGCTGTTTTTATATAGATAAGGACAAATAAATTGGATATATATAAATTTCCGGATCAATCGTGTAGACACTTTTTTTCAGGAATTATCTATTTACCATTTGTGTCCTTGTTTATCTGGAAACAGCTATTAAGGATAATGTCTATATGTGAACACTGCTGTAACCTACAATTTTTGCGCATCGTATCTTGCTACTAAAATGTTTATCATTCACGGAAATATGTGGAATTCAAATGTAACTTTGATAAAACTAGATTTCGGACGCGGCAAGATTTTAGACAGTCTATATACATGTACCTTGTATATTAGTATACCAATTCACGGAAGAAAGTAGTGATATACATGTACTATTCTTATTAGATATTTCATAATTAGATTTTCATTCAAATAGGGTGTAGAAGGTGTGGACAAGTTCACGATATAGGTCTTAATCACATACATTTGTATATATATGAAACACTATTTTATTATCATCAACTGTTGTTAATATGATTATTACGAACATTTACTATCTTAGTTTGTAGAATGAATTTGTTTGGCAAAATCCGTATTTAAAACATACTGTGTCTCCTTTATAGCTGGTGGATAGGTGTCCAAAGTTACAATCGACTGATGTATAAACATTGGAACTTAATTGTAAAGTACATTTTCTTCATTAAACAGGTGAATGAAAAATTAGGATACCCCGACTGTTCATCGTCAACTGGAGCCTGGCCATCAGGGAGCAGTTGGTATGATGATGAGATAGACTTTTCCCAATATGATTGGGACTATTACGAATATCTATGGCAGCAGTACGAGGATTACTATGCTGATAATAACGAGACAACAACCATGGCGTCTTCAACATCATCAACCACAGCGTCTTCTATACATTCAAAGCGAGAGACAAAGCCCCCTAAGAAGCCTCAATCCGTTCTTAGAACAATCAATATCCCTGACCTTTCTGTACCGAAATTTCCTTTCTTAGTGCTCGAAGTTATCATTAATACGTTCTTTACAATCGATCTTGCCCTGCGTCTGGTATCGTGCCCATCTTTGAAACGCTACTTAACCTCTATTATCAATGTGTTGGACGCGTTTGCTCTTATTGTCGTGCTACGTACATTTGTTAATCGTCTCTATCGAGAAAGAGTATCGTTATACGGAATCCATTTGGCTAAATCTGCTTGATTTTGCCCAAGTATTCCGAGCACTGCGTCTCTTCAGAGTCGTGAAAAATGTTCGGGCAAGCAAGGTCCTGGCATACTCTTTGACCCAAGATTTGCGAGACATGACATTGTTGGTCATGTTGCTATTTGTCGGAATATCAACGTTCTCTTGTCTCATATACTTTGCAGAATCGCGTGCGACTATTCCATCAATTCCAAGCGCTTGGTATTGGGCAATCGTCACAATGACCACGGTCGGTTACGGTGACATCTCGCCCCTGACGGGATTTGGGCGCGTGATCGCGTCTGTCTGCGCAATATGCGGCGTTCTACTCTTAGCGATTACTCTCCCAATGTTTGTCAACAACTTTCTCACCCTGTACCAGTACTCTTGTGTCAATGACTCAATTGAGAAGAGGAAAAAGTTGAAAAATGAGCAAGTAGATAAAGGCAAAGCGCCTGTAGATGACGACGTTGTCGTCCATGACTTGGACGCAGACAGTCCTCCCCCCGCGTACGAAGCTCCGTTAGAACGTGCAAACAATCCTGATAATGTAAAGAAAGAAAATACTGTATTTCTTGTTAAAGAAGCTGTTGTCACATAGATTTAAACTACATGTAGTTTTTATTTGTTTGGGTCGAAAATTTCTAATATTGTTTCATTCTTTATAGATATACATGCTTACAGTAAGCTCCATGATTATTTACATCTGTGTTTAGCGTCGAAATAATGAGTTACAAACCCTAATTTAGAATAATTTGGTTTTCTTCAGGCCGTTAACATATAATTTCACCGTGGCCGAGTGGTTTGCACGCTCGCCTATGAAACGAGATGTCTCGAGTTCAAATCCCAGTAGAGGCAACTCATTTTTTTAAAGTCAAATAAACATTGAATTGACTATAAGTGTTGCAATTAGTCTTATAGCCAATTTACTACAGTTAAACACTGGAAAGCATTGGTGGCACTATACAAAAACAAATTGGTTTATAATCTCACAACCTTCACCTTTATGACATTCTGAGACCCAAACAAATTCAGCGCCTTCTGTGCTTTGTTTGTTCTACTACGTTACGGATCCGCAGGCTGGTCTGGATCCATGCTGAATGACGGAACAAATAGAGGACGTCAGCATGACAAAGATGTTTAGCTCTCGTTACGTATATCCTATTTTTATTAGTAAATTCTTTTGGAATTAATGATTAACAAAAGTCTGCTGAGAAACCTAAACTGGGATCAATGTCTGAGTGAGTTCAATTACAAGTGTAATTATGTTTTGTTTGTATTTACTATTTTTATATAAAATGAATATCCATCTTGTTGCTTTTTCATTAAATGTTCATTATTTTTAAAGCAGTTTATGCAAATTTTAAAGAAATTTTTGAAAATGTTTTTTAAAGTTAAATATAATTGTAAAGTGAACAAAGATATTAATTTAAACATTGCAAACGTCGCTTACAGGCGACGTAAATTGCCGAAAAGGGGTTAAAATATGGAAAAATAACCCTTAGTATTAGTTTTGCGTTAGTAACGCAATAGAAATATGGTGATGAGTACAGCAAAATCATTCATAAATCGAATAGAACACATTTTACTTTTCTGAAAAAGTTAGCAAATTATTTTTAATTATATTAATGTTTTTGTTGAATTGTTTCGGCTCATTTGGAGGCGGTACAAGTCAACCCGGTCCTAAGTCAACCCGGCCTCAGGTGAATCCGGCCCCAAATTAGTCAATTCAATCTGATATCTGATCAACCCGGCCCTATTTTTATTATTATATATTTGCCACGAATTTTTCTTCATTAACTTACCGACATATTTATTATAGCCTAATTATGTTTTCAATAACTTTATTATATGGTTCATAATCTTCATTTGGTAAAGTTTTATTTTTTTGTAAATGTGAAACATTTTTTGAAAATCTTTTTTAATGTGTGTAATATAATTATATATCATTTAAAGACAAAAGGGGAAATGAAAGAAGCAAAATATCGTCTAAAACATAATTTAATTTAATAAAAAATTCTCTGAAAATCAATTTCGGGGCCAGATTGACCGATTTTGGGACCGGGTTAACCTATTTTGGGAACGGATTAACCGGTTTTGGGGCCGCATTGACCAAATAAGAATAATGATGTGGGCCGGATTGACTAATTTTAAGGCCGGGTTGACTAATTTTGGGGCCGGGTTGACTTGAGGCCGGGTTTACTTGGGGCCAGGTTGACTGTAATTCATTTAGAGGTATGCCGCTTTAAATGCAAAATCACTTGTAACCATTTTTTAAAACATCCGGAAGAATGCAAAACATAGAAGGGTAAACGAGTTGTGTTATTTGTCTAGTTCTAGTTGTGGCTATATAATGTCAGATTAACGCAGTAATTGTATCTCATCGCAAAAATAATCGCAAATGTATAACCTTGTCCAAACTCCGAGAGAACTTGCACTAATCTCACTACACAAATGTAGCTGATTGGGCTTTACTAGTCCAACAAGGTGTCCGCTATTCTGCTGAATAAAATTCAAAGTTGATCTTATTTAACGCATTGCTTACACGTTTATTTCATGCAATTCGGTTTGAAGTTGGATCGATGTTGTCAGAAATTACTTTAAAATATTTGTAATATTGGGATTGGCTTGTTATTTGAAATACTAATTTGTATGATTAACGTTTTGTTTCATGACTTCATTCAAGTAATGACATTGTTTACATTTAATTTTGTATTTTATGCACAGTTATATTTTCTGCAATAAATAATTTTATAAGTATTGATACACTGGCTCTGAATAACGTTTTTCAAGTGTTCTACAATAAGTCTATACTAGATAGATAGTACCACGTACAGAATCCCAAAATTATTTTCATCTTTCCATGTCAGATGTACTGCGCAATAGACTTGTTCCGGAATTAAGAATATTTTGTTGTTTTTCCGCATCTAATCCAGGGGAATAAATACTTCTACAGTTACAGCTTCGAAAATAAGCGCAATAATTTACTTAAGCCTGCGTCACATTACAAACGGTAACCGTTCGAGATGGAGGGTGAATAAACAGTAAAGGCAATATCATTATTGATTGTCATTGTGAACCTGATAGCATATATGAGCCGCGTCATGACAAAATCAACATAGTGCGTTTGCGTCCAGCATGGATCCAGACCAGCCTGCGCATCCGCGCAGTCTGATCAGGATCCATGCTGTCCGCTATCAGTTTCTCTACTTGTAATAGAGTTGGTAAGCGAACAGCATGGATCCTGATCAGACTGCGCGGATGCGCAGGCTGGTCTGGATCCATGCTGGTCGCAAATGCAATATGTTGGTTTTGTCGTGACGCGGCTCATTTCATTGTTTTCTCGGCTCGAAAGGTGTTTAGTCAGACTGACATTAAGTTTATATAACAACTTTCCTGCTTAACCGGTTGATAAAGAACTCTGGATCCCCTCCATGCATTATTTCCGGTACGTAAAGGGCACGCCTTCTTCGCATTAAATGGTTCAATGTGTTTGTCGAGACTCGAACACAAAGTGGTGATGGCCAAGTTTTCAAATTCACCGACTAAACTTTGTCATGAAAGCACCAATAACCCCTCCATGCATTATTTCGGGCACGTAAACGGCACCCCTTCTTCACATTAAATGGTTCAATGTCTTTATCGGGATTCGAACCCAAAGTTGTGATGGCCAAGTTTTCAAATTCACCAACTTAACTTTGTCACGGAGGCATCACTAACCTGTTTCAGCACGAATTATAACTCTTCTTTTACAAATGATTATTATATTTCCCTTTAATATCTAAAATGGGTAAACATAAATTCTTTTCGGAAACAACAACACTCATTATTCCTATTAATGTTTATTATATAAAAAGATATAAAATCAGTGTATAATAGCACATTTTGTTTAACAAACATGTAAATCAAATTAATAAAGAGTACAAAAGACCGATTTGAACACATGATAGTATAATAATGCAGTTATGTATCATAGTAATAAATTGAAACAATTCATTTGAACAGGTATACAATCAATGCCAAGCACATATGAGGCGTGTCACGTCAAAACCAACATAGTGGGTTTGCGACCAGCATGGATCCATGCTGTTCGCTGTCAGTTTCGGTACTTGTAATAGGGTTTGTAAGCGAACAGCATGGATCCTGATCAGACTGTGCAGGCTGGTCTGGATCCATGCTGGTCGCAAACCCACTATGTTGGTTTTGTCCTGACATGGCTCATATGTACATTTCTTCTTCATATAAAATCACATTTCTGTAGAAAGTAAAAATATGTTTTGTAATGTTGAAATAATGGATAACATCATAATAACCTGAAAAAAGTGCTGAATGTGAAAATAAATATGATAAATATAGCAAAATATAAACAAAAAGATTGGATTGTGAGATTTAATGGTATCCCTTGCAATAAGCTTGTTGAGAACTTGCAGTAACACTGAAAAAACCTCGCATCTCTTATATACAAGTGGTTTTGTTGTTAAAGCATACAGAAAGTGTTGTGATAGTTTAGTAGCATCTATATAATCACAGTGTTTGAACTCGCAATATTACAATTCTCAATATACCATTTTTGCTCCATAAGTCTGAAATTTCCATTTTCAATAGCTGATCTGACATGTATTTGTAATGCTCTTTTAATCTATGTTTCTTCATTCAAGGCAGATGTAAAATTCAATATCTGCCAATATAAATTAATTGGGGCAGTCACGGCACAAAAATCAATAATGAATGGCAGAAACAACTGAATATATTATTTGACAGCACATTAAAAACAGTAATAATGCCCTTGTCACCCATAAATGCCACCAACATTACTGTATCAGTCAAGCTTTAAGTTGAGAGTACATTGTAATGCTACAAAACCTTAGGGAAATTTTCCCAATCGAGATAATGCATTCAGTAATAGGCAAACATTTATGCAAGATATTCTAATAAATTTGTGTCCTTTTATCCTCACTGACAAAGGAAATATTAAAATAATGCACAAATATACGCTAAAATCATAGAGCAAAAAATCAAATTCAATAAAACTATTACATTAAATGTATATTGTGCTCATCCTTTTTTCTTCAACTTTTTTTATGGGAAATATTTCTTTAAAAAAGGAATTAAAATACTAGTATTTTTGTAAGTTTAAAAAATGGACATTAATATGAAAAAAGTTTTCTTGAAATTCACACCAATTTTTTTGAATGTGTCCTATTATAATATACAAGTAAAAATAAGTTTGAAAGTGATCTTTAAGAAATTACATTCCAGAGGATGGTCAACCTATCTGAATAAGCATCTTCGTAACATGGATGAAAATATTTCACATGATAAATCATAGTGATAAAGAAGCTCTTTAAATTATACTTATTCAAGACAATACAAGTTTCTACACATAAAGATGGACGGAAGTTAACAGTTATTGTAACAAGTCAGTTTTAACATGATCATCACAAAATACAGCACTTTTCATAAAAGGCTAATTGACAGAAACATTTCACAGACATTAAATATCAAAAGATTTGTTAAAAATAGGGGAAAATATCACTGAGAAATATCAACAGAAACAGACCTAAAGTTAATTTTTGAAGGAGGTTTGATTTAATTTTTATATCTCTATATGTCACACAGAGTATGAAAAATGAGCAGC